AGAGGACTTTGAGAGAACGGGTGTGAGCAGCTTAGTCACTGTTGGAGTTAGAGATATTCAAGGTGAGGGATTTCCAGATCAATTTTCAGGGTTGGCTGATTCTGTATTTCTGGACCTACCCCAACCTTGGCTGGCCATTCCTTCAGCTGGAAAAATGTTGAAACAAGATGGGGTTTTATGCTCGTTCTCGCCTTGCATTGAGCAAGTGCAACGCGCATGTGAAACTCTTAGATCAAACTTTACTGGTAATTTTCCTCCATGAAGTATTTCTGTCAATTACCTCTTCCTCCCTTCATCCATCCCCTTTTGTGTGCTTATGTAAATTTCTGATGAAACTTGTTGCCAATGATTGCAAGGCCGGCTGGATTGACTCTTCTGTTAAAGCTCTGAAAGCATAAATTCAATTTATTGTGAAGTAATGTTGTGTAGCAACAATTTCTTAAGAAAAAAAAAATATTGTGTTGCAACAATAAACTTCTCTCAAGCCAATGTGAGGAGTTTACTGCTTAATTCTAAATTTGACCTGTAAGTTAATGTTTTTTATAGACCAAATGAATTTTCTAAGTGTTTACACCATATAAAGAATTTAACAAACATATATGTGCTTTTCTTTCCTGAGAATGTTTGGGTGAGAAAAGAGTCATGTGCACTAGCAGTAGAGAAAATACATATTTATAATTCATATTATAAATTTGTAATGTTGTGGATATTTATGCCAAATAAATAAAATAAAGGTGCCATTTCTCTGTTTAAGCAGAAGCTGTCTTGCATTTGAAATGTCTGATTTTATCTTCAAGAAGCCCATTTTGGCTATATGAAAACCTATTTGCTTAAGCTTTGGCTTTTTAACTGCAAAAGCATGGGGCTATAACAGTTTCCAATGAGCATCAATAAATAGTAATCTATGTTTGTGTTTTCTGCTGGTTTCTAGATATTAGGACATTTGAGGTACTCCTTCGAACATATGAGGTTCGTGAAGGGAAAATGGATTACTGCCAGGATGATGATCTTGCATCTGTTGGAAATATTCCATGCAAGAGAAAGCTTAGTTCAAATGAAGGTAGCAATCTGCAGAAAAATCCAAGTTGTCCTCCGATCATAGCTCGGCCATGTGGTGAGGCAAGAGGGCACACTGGCTATTTAACATTTGCGAGACTCAAATGCTTTCAATGATTGATGGCCTGTCAGACGTGGATCTGATTATGAAGAAGAATTCTGTGTATTACAAGAGAAAAAAGGAATAAAAATCAGAATTTTTGTTATTGTCTTTTGCATTAGAAGACAAGAATGGTCTCTAAATACTGGGATATACCTTGCAAGCACGTTTAAAGGAGTTCCACTATGGTGCCTCTGAGATATCATGTCTCCAGGTAATTTTCTAACGTTTTATTAGTAATTTGGTAATTTTGTGTAGTAATCATCTAGAAATTAATTCAGTAACTTTTTATAGTAATTCAGTTTTTCCACAATGTTAAGTGATTACTATCCAAAGTTACTGAATTATTATCAACTGTTGGAAAGTTGCTATGGAGGCATCATTGCCTCGAGTGCATCATAGGTTTGTTGATAGGAGGCCTCTGAAAATGGTTTTTCACAAAATTTTTACCTGCTTATCGGCAATTTCTGTAGATTAAATATGACTTTGCGGCTACTAATTATTGGTCACTTCAGCTTGTACCTTTTGACTTATGGTTGACTTATAAATTTTATATTTCAATTCTTTTTTCCAATTTTTTATGCAGCATCAATATTGTGATCTGAAGCAAGATGCATTAATGTACATAGGGAAACTTATGGTTGAATGAATCATCTCCAAATAGAATCATTCGCACTCTTCATTTGATTTAAAGTTTGAACTAAATTATAAAGCTTTTAGAGCATGCAAATTTATTTACTTTAAAAATTTGCCTTATTTTGATTATGGTGCCTCCTACACCATGCTAAAAAAGCTTCTTTTACCAATTGGAATATCATGTGTGGACAATTTTTTAATATTTGTCTCAGATTCTTCATTATTAGTCAAGCTATACCACATCTTTGTCTAGGAAAACGACAACGTTTTACAGGGCACTTAACTAAAACCATCCATTCATTTTCAGGACCAGCTAACATCTTTGTCCAGATATCAATCAACTATGTATAAGTCTTTTTTTTTACACCTTTTCTAGGAGCCAAGAAAATATAAGCCTGACCACATATGGGATGGGCACTAACTTTCGTTTTTATTCAAAATATAAGCTTGATAAAATTTGAGATATCTCATAAAATCTTATAATAAACCCAAAATATTTAAGACCATTATCATTAATATTTATCCAAACAATGACTTTCTTATCCTATGTATTAGGTCCTACTCTATCTTTTCTCCAAGGTAGACCCACAACCTCGATATGACCAGACGTTTTATTAGAAGGATGGTCTCTTATATACACCAAGTAAAAGATAAAAAAAAAATCTTTTGACATATATTTTTCTTTTCCTTGTGCTGATTGTAGGATGGATTTTTTTTTTTTAAAAATAAAGTGAGAAGATTTCTTTTAAGTCAAATTAGGATAATGTATAATCTTTTGTAAACTAAGGTCATGAACAATTACTTTCCCATCTTTGTTTTCAAATAAATAAATTGAAGCTCAACTAACCACAATCTGCCGAGTTTGGAACACCAAGGCGGAAAAAAATCAAATCACAATCTTGGCCTAACACATGGGCTTTGTTGCAGTTTCTAGGTAAACAAACATGTGAACAGGGTAAATGAATTAATGCTACATGCTGCCAAATACACAACTGGGCACTGTCATTTGAGACCCTTCCCCCCCCCCCCCAAAGACTTTCTGTATTGCTTTTGCGCCACACGCACAAAACAAATATGGTGACTATGGCACTTTCTCTGTCGCCTTCAACAACTCCATTTCTAAAACCTTTAAGCAAAACCAGATGCCTTTCTTTATTGTCAACCCCATTTCCTTCAAAGCCATTGGAGGTCAGCTTTGTCAATCATGGACTTCATCTGTCCTCTTCTTTTTCTTCTTCTTCTTCTTCTTTTTCATTTAGGTGGTGTAGTTTGAAGGTGAGGACAGCCTCATCAGCTTCAGTTCCTGATCATGAAGTTGATGATCATGTTGAGGAGGATCCCAAATCTAGTGATTTGGGTAGGGTTTTGGTGCTGGGAGCACTGTTTGCAATATGGTATCTTCTCAACATCTACTTCAACATTTTCAATAAACAGGTAATTCTTTATCTCTTCTTTTATATTACTTTATTAACATTTGTGTTAGAATATACATTTATATTTCTATTTGATATAAATTGTTCTTGGGGGGATCGAGAGATAATTAGTGAATTAAAGTACAATAAAGTAAGAAGTGCCATTTTGTGTAGCCTTCATGGTAGTAAATGATGGTGGCAGTTTAGCTTGTTTCTAACTTACTTTGTTATAGGAAACTCATTCTGAAAGTTCATCTCTTGGTTAGAAGTTGTCTCTTCTCTAGGAGCAAAAAACTCTCTCATAACATAATTGTTCATGTTCGTGTACAAATTCAGAGGCATATAAATAATTACTAGAAGGTGCCCAATTAAAATTGTTGACTTGGAATTAAAATAACATTTTCATTGAAATTTACATATCGTTTGTATTATTAATCTCTGTTTCATGAAATTAAAACTTAACCTGATAGTATTGAAAAATTTCTTACTTTGCAGGTTCTTAAGGTGTATCCATATCCGACAACAGTCACTGCATTCCAATTTGGCTGTGGGACATTGATGATCCTCATAATGTGGGCATTTAATCTCCATGGCCGACCAAAAATTACTCGCTCACAGGTTATTATTCTTTACCTTTTTTTTTTTCTTCTTTTTTAGTTTCAAATATGCAATTTTCTTTTTTATTTTTTTCTCAATTATAATAAATTACACTTTCGTCTTTTGATCCATTTGAAAAATAAAAATATGTGATTTCTCACACGACGGTATAAATTTATTTCATATTATATAATTTATTATTTCAAAAGATTTGTTTAGGAATTATTATTATAGATACTAAGAATTTTTTAAAATTCAATTTTCAGCTTAGAGCAATCTTACCGTTGGCTGTGGCACACACATTGGGCAACCTTTTAACCAATGTTAGTCTTGGCCGAGTCAATGTTTCTTTCACACACACAATCAAAGCAATGGAGCCATTTTTCACCGTCTTGTTCACTGTCTTGTTTCTTGGGGAGGTAATTAATTATATTAATTAAATAATTTAATTATAATTATATACAGTTAAATTGTTCTAATTTTTATATATCTTTACAAATTTAATTCTTATATTTTTTATTTAATTGCATTTAAGATAATTTAACTGTGAGTAAGTTTAATTTTACAATTTGGTTTTATTGTGTACAGTGGCCGACTCTTTGGGTGGTTTCTTCGCTTATTCCGATTGTAGGAGGAGTGGCATTGGCATCTTTAACAGAGGCTTCTTTTAATTGGTAAAATTAATTAAAAAATTAAATTAATATAGTTCATTTGCTTCAGTTCCCACTTACTTTTTATCTTATTTATTTAGTTAATTATTGAGTTAGTTTTAATAAACAAATTTAGTAATTAAATTAATCATAAAATTTACTCTAAACCTAAATATTTACAACCATAGAATAATTTAGAAATATGATTCCAACCAAACAGGTCTAATTCAATTAGTCTGAAATGCACAGGGTTGGTTTCTGTAGTGCAATGGCTTCCAATGTGACTAACCAATCACGTAATGTGCTTAGCAAGAAGTTGATGGTTAAGAAAGAGGTAAATTATATACTCGGTAATTTATTAGAGGCTCTTATGAAATTAATTAATTAATTAATTTAAAACTAAATGAATGCATATTTTTTTTTTAATGCAGGATTCGTTGGACAACATAAATCTCTTCTCTGTAATAACCATTATATCTTTCATTCTTTTGGTGCCTGCTGCTATTTTAATAGAAGGCAATAAGTTTAGTCCTTCACACCTGCAATTTACAGTAAGTACTACGTACGCCTGACATACATACACACACAATATACATACATGTATATCATCGGGGTTTCTGTAATTCTTAATATGAAAAGCAATAGTGATTAGTGGGTGTCGAGAGGTTTCATGGTGATAGTCCTTCAAAGTGTTCCTGATCCGTTTGAAGTTACAAACTTTAATGTATAGATTTGTGAAATGATTTTAGTTTTTATTAAAAATTTATACTTCAATTTCAAAAACTAATTTTATCAAACATATATTTTAAATTTGTTACTTTTATCAAATACTTAGTAATTTTTGGTTAAAAACACTTTTGACAAACCATTTTAACACCAATTTTAGAACTCATAGCACAAATTATTTTTACCAACATATCATACCATTTACCTCTTGATATTTGGATTTATACATTTAATCTGCTTGTCAGGCAAGTCAAGGTCTGAACATTAGAGAGCTGTGTATGAGATGGCTTTTGGCTGGATTCTGCTTCCACAGCTATCAACAGGTACTGATAAAATTATATTTATTTCTACTGTAAATTAATATACAGAATTGAATCGTTTAAGATTTTAGAAGTGGTAAATAATAATTTAAGTTATTGTATAAAATTATATTTCTTAATCAAATCTAAATTTTTTTTAATAATCATTTAAATATTATTTACAGTCATATAATTGTCAGGTATATGCTTTAAAAAAAAAAGAATTATTATTTTAGTTAAATATTATTATACTAATTATTAATTTTAAAAAATAATGAACCTACTTTATAATCGTTTAAATTTTCCAATATATATATATATATATATTTTATTTTTGTTGTGTGCATGGTGTGGATGCAGGTGTCATACATGATTCTACAGATGGTGTCGCCAGTAACCCATTCAGTAGGAAACTGTGTAAAGCGTGTGGCGGTGATTGTGTCGTCAGTTCTTTTCTTCAAAACTCCGGTTTTGCCCATAAACTCCCTCGGTATGTTTCAAGTTTAATTTGCACGAATCAATTAACTAATTACTTCCACATTAATCTATTATAAAGTGCTCCGCCATTTTTCTACGAGTAGAATATTTTCGTGACCGGCTGTACATACTGTGCATGTTCGTGTTATGATGTTAATTATATTATTATCAATGTGTAAGTAGTACTTAATTATTTTAAGTATGTGAGTTAGTTTTTATATTAATATTTACTCATTTGGTCCTTAATTTTTAAAAAACACTTATATACTAATCTCTATATGTTCAACGATATTAATACAGTTAGTGAAGTTGTTATATGGTGATGGGTTAAACACGTGACTACTTGTAGTTAGGTAAAGTTTTATGTACTGAGACGTGACATATAACATGACAGAGTTTTTTAAATCAGAATCAGTCCATATTGTTTAAATGTGGTTGACGATGTCTGAATTGATTTGAATTAATTCTCTTTTTATTGTTTGAAATTGATTCGTGGGTCTGGATTTATTACGTATGTATATCCGATAAATTATTTTTTTTGGATATATAATGTGACATACATGAATATATTTACACGTTTAATTAATTAATTATTGTCTTGTAGAAAAAAAAAAAAAACTAGAATTGGCTGAAGACATGGGTTTGAAATAAATGCAGGAACTGCGGTGGCTCTTGCAGGCGTCTTCTTATATTCAAGAGCAAAGAGAATGAAACCAGAGCCAAAAGTTGCCTGAAATTCTTCTTCTTCATCATATTTGGACAGAGGTTGAATTCTTCCCTTGAGTTGTCTCAATGGTTTTTCTACAAGGGCTTTCCATTGTTTCTATTACCCATGTGGATGCCGAAGTCAACTTCTAGCTTCTTCAATAAATCACCATATATTTTTGTTTTTATTTTTTTCGAAATTTTTATTTACAACAAGGTTTCATAAACTATGTACATAGAGTTCTTTAAAGCAGATATATTTTGGGTTAATCAGGTACCCTAGTTAGATTTTATAATCCGGTAAATTGTTGAACGTATACGAGAGAGTTTGCAGGTTTTATTTTGAAGATAAATTTTTTTTATAAATCGATGATTACCAATTTATCTAAGCGAAAAAGAAACTAGATATTATATGTAACAAGTTATAAGTCGAGAGATAAAAATTTAAATTGTATTGACCGGGTTCTTCAAACACACGGAAAGTCATAATATTAAAAAACAAAGTTTCAATATGAAAACGGGTAGAATTAATCAATAAATATAAGTTTTGTGCCAACATTTCATTTTTTTTTATGGGATTTTGAAATTGCAATGAACATAATTGATATAAGCTTGCTAGTTTCTTAACAAGATGTTTATAGTTAACAACCAACATATTAAGATGTAAATTCATACATTTGAGTATAAATCTTCAAATGTTAACATACTAATTGATACGAGGTTCAAATAATATTTTTAAACTTATATCGTCAAATGTCGATTTTTAAAGTTGATATTTAAATTATACTAAATGTACTTTTAAAAGTATCAGAATCTCTATTTATCTTGTTCTTCTAAAAATTATATTTTTAAAAAAATATATATAAAAATTGATTGATGGTATAATGATAATATAAGATAAGAGATGAAAATTTATTTTTATTTTTTTTAAGAATTACTCCGATGTTTAGGTCAACATGGTACTAAATAATATCAGTAAATGGGTTCTTAAAAATTTAAAAGAATTTGCCTTAGTTGACTTAGTATTATCGAATCTTATTTACAATTTTAATTCTTCACTTGTGTGAATTGGCTCGGACACCCTAGTTATTATTATTTGACAAATATTTTTAATTTTATATGATAGTAATTTAGTTTCTCGATAAATTAAAAAATAAGTCACTATTTACCCAAAGTAAATAAAAATGTAATTGCCAATGCTATATTTACTAATATTATTTTGTTAACTTTGTAAAGTGAAATGGGTAAAATATTGTTTAGTGTTCTATTTTCTCTTCTTTGTGGTAGGTTGTCTTTGGCATTTGTGGGCCTTTATGGGGCTTGACCTTATTTTTATACCATAAGGTAAGTTTTCTAGTAAAAGTTTATGTATTTTATTAATTATATAAACGCATATATATCAATAATTTTATAATATTTTTTAAAAAGGGTATAAGTAGCCGAACGCTAAGGATAAAAGGTGGAACACATGTTTTCCTTGATGTTCTATATATATATATATATA